AATAGGAAGTAAAAGAAAAATATATAGTATAAAGGAATAAAGGAAAAGAATAAAAATAATTATATGAAATATAAATCAAATAAAAGATAAATTTTTGAAAATATCGATATTTGCGAAACAGTTCGGGAAACACTATGTACTATGGTGATAGGTCTTTTGACTTTGAGCAAAATTACTGAACTTGAAAGTTATTATATATTGATGAGCTTTAAAATGCAGAATTATTGTGAAGTTTTTCATGCAGTTTTTTCGTATTCTCTCCATAATGATAATATTAATGAATAATAATGAATTTCCAAGATATTTTTAATTCTTATTTTTAATTCTTATGGAAATTCCATCATATTTGCAAATTCAGATCTCATGAGATATTTAAAAAACTTGCTTGCTTGGGGAATATTAAGATTCATTGGAATTCATCAGAACCATAAGATATTATTCCTTAACACGAAAACTGCAATCCTGCAAACTGCAAACTGTTGGAGACGGAATTAGCAGTGATTTATCGATAATCCGTCAAAAGTAAAGATTTGGTAAGAAATGGCCAGATGAATAGCCATAGACACTTTTTTCAAATTGCTGGCCATAAAAATTATTATATTGAATTTTATGACGATGAAATTCCATCATTTTTCCATTTAAGATTTTCGTGTTTATTTATAATTGAAAAGGCTGTTTCATTTTCTGGATAAGGGGACCAATGAATCCACATCGAGTCATGCATTCTTTTGTGTCTTGGTGCAGTGAGGAATTTCTATGGAAATTGGCTATGCCGAAATTGAAATATTCAAAGAATATACTGCAGCAAACATTAGTTCAAATCACTGTTCGAATAATTGCTTCTCTGATGGGAATGTCATGAAATTTGCACACTAACGATGCCAGTCTTTCGTGATTTTTAACTTAAACGTTGGTATTCAATCTTTTTTTTTCGTACTACATATCAGTGAAAATAAACATATTAAAATTTTGAAATTACATTATATTTGGTCATTTTAAAGGTTATCCATCGCAGTAGCCCAAACTCGTTTAGCTTTGGAAAAAACAAAAAGTTAAGTCGACAATATCTCTTTTAAATTGGACAGTTTACTTGTTGCGAGGTTGTTTTACCAAAAAATCAGCGCTTATTTCATGCTAAAAATCCAGAATTCTCATATGCTTTTCGATCTGAAAATCATTTTGGAAGAAAAGTTCCAGTATTGGTTCATCAACTGCATTTTACGTTGTTTCAACTGTCAGAATCATAAAACATGCACTAATGCACTAATTTTTACTTGTGATTTTGATTTTCTTTTGAAGATTCTAGAAATAGCATTGAAAATATTTCTCCAGCTTCAGAAAAGCGAAAAACGACAATGGATTTTACTGATTCAATCTTTGAAGAAATAAATGGTAAAAACTTTGGATTATGTACTTCATGACGAATTGATCATCTTTCTGAATGAGCCAATTATAAGCGAGAGGATAATTCGGTGAAATCAGAACAGTGCTGGATATCCAGCATTAGCCAGAGTAGTTCAGAAATAACGTGCAGTAAGCGACTCTTTGGCTAGAAATATTTTTCGTACATTGTATGTTCCACAAAAATGCAGAAGAATTAATTTCTCTGAAGGCTTTTGATGCTTGTTTTGTTTAAAATCTTATTTTCGTTTAATTCTTTTTTAAGGCTAAATGAGCCTGAAATCTTAATGAAATTTTCTGTTCTGTTTTCTTTTGTTCAGTGATAAAACCTAGTTTGGTTTTTTATGCACCGCTTAAGATTCTTTAATTCTTCTATAATTCTATTGCAAAAATTAAATTAATCTAGTAGCATAAGAAAACCTGAAATGGCTGGTAGATGAGTATATAACTAATATGGTTAGTTTTTGTATCAAAGGTCCAAACTTAAACCTTATACTGCAGATAAAACTAGGATTTGCAATTTTTGACGAAGAGCCGTTTTTTTTAGACACTCTAATAACTTGGCGCATATTCATTCTGCATTTATTTCGAGTACGTTTTGACATAAAATTCAGTATTAACTCAACAGGTAGGTCAGTTGGCCTTAATTGTCTTCTTTTCTTCTTGTAATTTAGGTTTATCTCCGTTTTGTGGAAGCGCTACACACGGCATTTTTCGATCAGGTTGGTTTCGCTGATTGCTTTTTAAATAAGAATTTTTTATAGAGTTACTTGGCGCTAGAGATATAGATGGATCTAACAGGATTTTAGTAAGAGTTCGTTGATGGTGAGAGGTAGTATCGCATCTATTTTTGTATGAAACAGCGAATCACGCGACCATTCTGTCTCAATTCACGTATATAAATTACATAAATCTCTTAAGTAAATGGCTGGAAAATAAATGGTTTTTTTCAGGTTACTGTCGTATTTATCCAGTACTCTCGCTCTATATGGACTTTGCTTAATATAATTTGCCTTCTTGGAATCATTGGTCTTAATAATAGGTAAATTATAATTTTTCTTTTAACAGTTCACCATTTCAGTTTTATCTGACTCCAGTCACCACTGAAATATGAAATCCCTCAAGGAATCTGGAAAACGAAGTATAATCTTCAGCTTCCTCGGATTTTGCTTTTAACGGGTTTATTCCTTTAAAAGATAAGAGTCGAATATTTTGCTTATCCTTCCACAGTTTATCGCCATTCCACGAAGTTGTATTGTCCAGTGGCAAAATTGATTCCAAATTTTACCTGCAAATTTTAGGCAACTGTTGACTAAACATTTATATATGTTTTAGATTTTAGAATTTGGATTCGAAAATCAAAAGTCAATGTGTTTTATTTCTTTTTTTTAAAAGTTATTTTAGGGTAATTCAATCAAATATTTTTTATTAGAAATCTTCATTTTTAATAATTTAAAAAATTTTAATATTTTAATAATTTCAATTTTTTAATAATTTTAATATTTTAATAATTTTAATAATTTAAACAATTTTGACATTTTAAACAATTTAACAATAAATCGAATAGTGCTCTGACATATTTTTAGTGCACAACAAAAGTAGTTCGAACTTTCGATTAGCTTCTCATAAGTCATAGGTGCGGGCTGCGGTTCTCCTGAAATCTTTTTATAAAATCCACCCTTTCTTATTCTTTCATTGTACAGCATCGTTGAAATTTATGTTTATTGACTTAATTTTTATGATTGAAGTCCAATTTATTGACTTAATTTTTATGTGAATGAAGTCCAATTGTTTGAGAAGCAGAGGATTGCAAAATGTGATTTTTCATAATTTGTAAATAATTTGAAACAATTTTTTTTGAAACAATATTTAGAAGCAAAAAAATATTTATTTAAAAAAGTTTTTTTCGGTTTTATGGTTATTTTTGTTTTATTTTTTTTTCAAAGTCTTCACCAGTACTGGTTAAAATCGCTTCACTGACTTGTCGCATTGGGCAATATGCTAGGGAGTCCCTTGGCGATAGAAATACAGATGAATCGCTAGCATTACTCTAAGTTTTAGACAGGTTTAATCCTGCGGTGAATCGAACCTCAGCACTCCCAATTGAGCAACAACCCACTAAGCCATTTTATTGAGTTTTTGCTTTATGACTGAAGTTTTTCAAATTTTTTATCAAATTTTTTTCAAATATTCATCAAACTTTCTTGAATTTCATTTTTTTAATTTGAATTCTTCTAATGGCTTTTATTATTTTTAATTTAGCTAGCTTCATTGATTACTGACGACTGAGATCTAGTCTTTTAATCATCAAAGTCTCTTCGAAAATACGAGAAATACAGGTTGATCAAGGTGAACTCAACCACTCGCACTTCTCTTTTAATGGTACATTGACTCTCGTCAACTCTGAACAAAAATTCATTGTGTTTTAACTCAGTCGAAGCAGCATACCGCTTGGCCATTTTGTTATTATTTGAATTATTATTTGTGCATTTTTTCGAATTTTTTATTAAAATTAAAATTTTTTATTAAAATTAGTTTATGGAAATTATTTTTTTTATTTATTTTATTTCATTCCTATTTATTTGTTTGTATATTTCTCGACATTATTCGACAAAATCAGACAATTTTAGGTTTTTTTTACGTTATACATTATTTCATTTAAGTAAGCAAATGATTTTAATTTTTTGAATTAAAAGTTTAATATAATTAAAAATTCATTATTTGAATTGTTTGAAAAATAACCAAAAATTCGAAAATTAAAATTTTCCAAATTTAAAAAAATTTAAAAATATCAAAATGAAAAAAAGTAGGAAAAGGATAAAGAGGAATTGAAAAAAATGAAAAGGATGAGAAGAAGAGGAATTGAAAAGAAGGAAGAGGATGATGTGGAATTGAAAAAAGAAAGGAAAACAAAAATTAAAGGAAAAAAGGAATTTTGTGTAAAGTAAGAAGAGAAGAGTTTGACGAAGAAATAAATCTTGTTTTGCCAAGACTTTTCGAAAAATTTCGCTACTTTTTTTTGATTCTCCACAAGTAAAAATTTTTCTTCGAAAACTTCGTTTTTATTTTTTTAAGCGGCGCATTTATTTTATTTTAATTTTAAATTCACCAATTGTTAAATAAATTTACTAATCAATTATTTCAAAACAAATTTTTTTGTAATAAATTCTTAAAGAATTGTTTTTTCGCCGTTTTTAATTTAAATATTTGCACTTAAATCGCGGAAAACGTGGACTTCGCGGATTCGGCGTGAATAGTGTATGTGAATTTGCCTTCCATTATTTTATTATAGTTTTTAACCTTTGCGAAATTCCGTTTATTTTATTGCTAAGTTGTTACTGAATATTAACAGCTGTGTCCATTTAATTGGTGGGCTATGGAAATTTAATATTTCGTCCACCATGTTGTGATAGCAAATCACCATAAAGAAGGTCATTCTAGTGGCAGTCGAGCCAAGCCAAACCAGAAACGGTGAATGCAGGCGAAGGAAGGGAAGCCAACTCCCATGTCTACTTCCTAACCTACTTGTCATAAATAAGTTCCCCTCTTCATTCGCCTCGTTTCTTATCTTCGATTCGTTGCAGTAAGCAGTTCACCTCATGTATATATCTTTGTGCATATCTGTATATTTTCGTTTTGCTTTATTGTCACTGTTTCGAGTCGTCGCTTTGGTCACTTTTTGCAATCAATTCATGTTTAAATGCCTTTATCTCTTCGTTTATTATTCTATTATATGTGTATCATCGATTGATTGATTAGAATTTATATACATACATTTATTAAAACTGTAAAAATCGATTTGAAAGAGAAGAAATGGAACGAAGAAATGGAATGGAATGAATAGTTTGGTTGTTTAGTTGGTTAGTTGGTTGGTTGGCTGGTTGGTTGGTTGGTTGGATAGTTTGGTTAGTTTGGTTGGTTCGATCGCTGGGATTGATGGTTGGTTGCATTTCGGTGGGTTGGACGATGTCGCGTAACGCCTTCAACAAAAATATTTCGGGCGTTTAGAGAGTGTCTCGCGGAGAGCAGCGATTTCCTTCCTATCGTCATCATTTCTCGCTCAGAACTACTGAAACGAACCGACCAAGTACTCCAGCTAACCGAGTCATCCTCCATCCATAGATTCGCTTATCCCTTCAATAAACAAAGCACGAGCCATTCTCTCATCGTCTGTCCGCTACTTTATTTTTCTGGAAATCACTATTGCTATTATTTTTTAGCTACTAAAATATTTTTATAATGAATATTATTATCATTAAGAGGACTAAATTAATTTGATTATTATTGTAACTATTTTTTAAAAATGTGCACCTCTTAATTTTAAGCCGTTTTTGCCGAACAGGTAATTGGCATTCAGGCCTTCACTGTGGTCTGCAGAATGAATTTGAAATATTATCTGAGATCATTGTGAAAGCTATTTGCCATTTTGCCATTTAATTTTAAGAATTCCTTATTTCCGAGAACTAAGAATTATGTTGATAATAATAATGAAAATTGTAGGATGGTAAACGTATTGGATGATTTCGTAAAAAGTTTTATCGAAGAACATGATCAGTGGCATCGTGATTCGCTAGCGAAAATTCAAATGTCAATTGATGAAGTACGACGAGTATTGAATGATTTAATGGATGGTGATGCTGATAATGGTGGTGATAATCCATCACTTGAAAAACTTGGGCAGATTGTTCTCGAGACAAGTCTTGAGAAATTATCTAATGAATTGCAGGAGGTTGGTTACATTTCTAGATTTTTTTAAAATTATTTTAAAACTAACTTTATTAATTGATAATCCTAGTGATCTTAATTAGTAATGTTATATTAATTATAATCAGCTATATATAGGTGATGATAATCTTATCTTAATCATCTGTGATTGGCATATTGTAGCTATTGCCTTCTAAATGACCTATTTGTCATTTTCTGTCATTTTGTTTCGTCCCAGTTTTTCGTCGTCTATCGTAATACGTATAGTGATAAATGATTAGAACGTTCGGGATTATAAGTTTTTTCGCTATAAAATTGAAATTTACTATGGCTAGTAACAAAAGGGACAAAAATCATTTCAATTTTTTTTACATTTAAATCTAATTAACTATTTTTTTTAGACAAAGGATTGTCATTTACCTTTGCATTCATACCTAACAAAAGCTAAAAAACAAATCGATGAAGTTTTTTTCGCAAATCTTGATTGGTACTCGAAACCTGGAAAGAAGTTCGAATCTGATTCAAATCTACATAATTTAATAAATCATTTGATTGTAGAACATTTAAAATGCGATGGATTTCTAGAAGTTGCTGATATGATGCTTAATGTTAATTTTTTTTCGATTTTTTCAAATAATTTTATATATTTCTAATTGCAAGAAAAGGATTAAAGGATTAAAGAACAAAAGATTTTTTCCAGGAAATAGGGCCACTATCATCTTCATCATCCGAGTTACCATCATCGACAATGGCATATGACGCCGATGTTATGTTACATATCTTACAAGCAATGATTAAAAAAGATGCACGCCCTGCGATAAGTTGGCTCGAAAAATATGCACCAAATGAAGATGACTTAATATTTGACCTTGAACGACAAGAATTTATACGATTATTGCGAAAAGGTTATTCTTGCCATTTTGCCACTTTTACATGCATTTTTCTTCAATCATTGATGCATTCAATGAAGTGCAAAAATAATGGTTGGAAGATTTTTTTCAGCTGCTGCAAATATTTTTTGAACAAATAAAGAATATTCTTGCTATGTCTGAATTTTCACAATTTTCACTGTGAGCAATTAAGAAAAAATTTTACGGAAATTACTTTTCGTACTTTTAGTTTGCATTTATTTTTTGAATAATGTTGTTTAAGGCAATCAGATGGAAGCATTGGATTATGGAAAACGTTTGTCGCGTAAAATCGAGGAAGCAAAAACACTTTTTTGGTGTATAGTTGATAAAGATCGTGAAGAAAATTTTCCAGAATTTTTTGATGATTCTCTTTGGCAAATTTTACAGCGACGTGTTGCACGAATATTTAGTGGTGTCGATGATCATCTTAGAACGATGTTCGTCTGGAATGTTTTTATGTTTTTTTGTTTAACTCTCTGCAAAAATAAAAGTATTGGCGAAATACTGAACAGTTCAATAGATTGTTTTAATTTTAGTATTGAAGCAGGAATTAAAGCACTTCCACGTTTGGTTGCAGTACGGCCAATTCTAAGTAATCAAGATGTTTTTGCTGTTGGCGAGTTGCCTACTTCAACTGATGCGCCACTTCGTTATCATTCTAGAGTAATATGTCCTACTAAAAAGGTTGGTATGAGATATTCATTATTTTATTTTGTAATAGCGTTTTACTAGAATATTTTTAGGTGCAATGTACTGAAGAAAATCCACCAATGCGTTTGCAGTGCGGTCATGTTGTTTGTCGGGATGCAGTTCTCCGATCTATCGTTAGTGGGCTTCAACAACCAATTCATTATACAAATATACAAAGTGTGCCATTTGCTCGTGTTACATGCAACTATTGTGCTAGGGAAGGATCGATTTTAGAGGCAAAAAACCTCCACATATAAATCAATTAGGTGACGTGATGGATTTTATCATTACTTAGTATTTTTGTTTTCAGAGGTATCTTCCCTCATTTTTATGAAGATTTCATGAGAGAAGGGTTCAAAAATTTTTCATTTTTTTATTTTATTCAATTGTATGATTTACCATCTACAAATGTTTTTCAAATTTTTCTTTCTTTTTTTGGGTTTTTCCTTTCTAAATATTTTTTAAAGCTTTTTATTTGTAAAATGATTCAACAATTTTAAAAATTGTATTTGAAAAGACGAAGGAATAAATTCTCGTTTTGTGAAACCTTCTATGTTTTTCTTCTTACATTATACATCAATAACTTTGAGTAAATAAGATTATTTTATTGGATTTTTGAGGATTTAATTTATTGTTCTTTATCCAGGAATTGTGCATGTAATCGTGAAAAGCCGAATTTTGACATTATTTATTTTAAAATATTACATAAATCACGGTAATTCATTTTCCAAATGGAATTTTAAATGGAATTTTTTTGTGTTATTTTCCAGCGTTTGCAGAATGGTGTTCGAGAAAGGCTTTTCTTCAGGCATTTAGACCGTTAGCCAGTGAATGGCGCTGGTTTTTTTAAATTTTGATAAACAACCGACCGATAAAGTAGTTTTTTCGATTAAATTCTGCAATAACGTAGCAGCAGAGGAAGATATAAAGCAGTGAGTGGTTGGCCCACACCATTTCTGGTTCGCTTACTTCCCTTGCTGATTATATGGTTACAGATTTTTTTCAGAGAGTCGTTCATTAATAGGGAATGTATAGGGAAAGTAATGATAGAGGCTGTAGCCTTCATTCTTCTGTCGTTCTAATTAGTATGAATTGACTAAACTCGTATAAATCGAGTGGTTCTGCTGCAAGTTACGCTTTTTTTTTCAGTAAGCGAAAAATCAATGAAATAAAGGCGATAACGAATGGAAAAATATGGTTTGTACAGCTTTCAGCATAATTATTTCCGTCATTTTATTTTAAATTGTTTAATAAAAAAAAAGCGAGAAAGTTTATTTTAAAATTTTGAGGAGTTCGATTAATTTCGGCTTTTTTTCGATTATTTTACGATAATTTTCGTATTTTAAATTTTTGAAAATTATCTTTTAAGTGGTAAATAAAATGTTTGCAGCAGTTAAGTGGTATAAAACAGCTGAAGACAAGTAAATATTTATTGCTAAACGGTAATGTGAATGCGATTTTCGTCTCGTTTAGCAAAAATTTAAAGCTGCGAGAAATATAGATGTTTTATCATTTTCTTAATAATCTTCCCGTTTATCGCTTATCACTTCATTTATTTGTTTGTTTAATTTACAGTATTTTAGAATTTGTACTAAGCAAATGCTGGTAACGCCATCGCTTTTCGCTTTTTTTCTGCTCAAAATTTTACAATTTTTTGCATATATTTTTTTCGGTTTCCATGTAATCATCTTTTCATTATTATCGTTTTGAACGCACGGATTTTATGAAATGAAATGAAATTTATGAAATTTCATGTGATAACAAATTCATCGGATCATCTTTATCATCATTTATCACTGATACAGTCCGTGAAATTGATAGAGACGAATTAAAAACTAAATAAATTAAATGACAATTTGGAAAGAAGGAAAGAATTGTGAAATTTTTATTGAAACATTGGTGAAGAATTTTCATTGTAAAAAGAATGTTGTTTTGATCAAAATTTTTTAAATTATAAATTAATATTTATACTATTATTTGTGGTGATGACGGTCATTCACCTTAGCTTCTATCCTCAAGTGATTCTCAGGCAAAAACCTCCAATCGCAATAACAGCAAGCGGAACGAGTTAAACCACTAGCAATGATGAACGTTTTGCTTTTTTTAATTATTCGATGAATCGAAAATTTTATTTTTTTTAAGAATTTAGCAGAATTCGAATTATTTGCAGAATGAAACAAAAATTTTTTGTTACACCGAAAAGTTTGTGTATAAATGAATCAAAAATATTTTTCATGTTCACTGATTCTTTGATTTTTTAATTTTTTCGAAAGATTTGTTAATCATGAGAATTTTAAAAATATTCCATTTGCGAAAGCTTTTCACGAAAATATTCCTACAGTTCTCCTACAATTAATTAATTAATTAATTTTTCAATTAATCTCTTCCAGCAGTTAATTAATTTCCTCCATTAATTAGGATAGCCGAGTGGGTATTGTATTTTGAGGCGAAGTTGCGGCTCTTTTCCCCTCATTCCCCTCCCTTCGACGAAAGTTAACCTACCATAAAAATAAAATTTGTTGGCGAGCCACACGTAATTTTATTGCCAAATGGTTCTTAAATTTCTAATCGTACTAACAGCCACCAGCTGAGCCAGCCTAACTAATTGTGGCTGCTAAACTGACTGTTAAAGTTGCCTTTTAAATTAAAGAAGGAAGAAATTGGTTCAGAAAATGAACATTTTTGCGCTTATTTGCCCGACATTATTGAATACGATTATTTCTCTTTTTTTTTCAAAAGTTATGTAATTAATCAAATTAAAAAAAAAAATAAAAAATTATAAGATACCGGATGTAAATTAAGTTTGCAAAAAAAGATTTGCAGTTTTTTTTCTTTTTGCGAGAAAAATTCTTTCAATTTTTTTCGTACGCTTTTCTAACTTTTATTTGCTGCTAAAACAATTCTTTTGTTCCTACAAAATTTAAAATTATAAAATTTTTTAATTTTTTTCATTTCCCATGGTCGTTGGCAAAAAAGAAAGAAAAAGTTTATTGTAATCGATAAAAATTTCAGAGTTTTTAAAAAATTACTTCAAATACGGAGAAGTTAAGCTAAAACTCGATTTTTGTCGAAAATTTAGAAAGAAATTTGCATCAAAAGTGAAGTTCAAAATCTGGATAACTCTCGGACAAATATACTTTGCAAGAATTTCTCTCACTCTCTGTCTTCAAAAAAATTTCATTCGAAATCATAGCTAGCGAAACAAGCAAAACTGCAAATAAATAGAAAACCATATAAAACATAAAACCAAAAGATTTAAAAAAGAAACCTTTTCTTACTGTAATATTCTTTAGAATTTTAGCGATGTAAAGATTATTTAAATTAGCGTTCATCTTCTCAACTCCAACGTAGTTAGGCGAGAAATTTAAACGAGCGAGTGGCGATAGAAGTATGGACTGGTGCATCGCAAGCATCACGCGGGTCTTTCATGAACATTTACTCCTAGTTTACTCCTAAAGCCAATGGAACTTTAGCATTTGCGCTCCGAAATGAGAACAAAATCATGAATGAACTTTCTTTTTCTCCAAAAAATATACGCTTCAGTATATATACTTCAGTAAATAAAATAAAATAATCGACAATCTTTATTTTTTATATTTTTGATTGAAATTTAAATTAAAAATGATAATTTAGAAAAATATAAAGAATTAAAAAATAAAATAAAGCATTCATTCATGAAAACAAATTTAATTAAAAGAATTTTTTAAAGATTTATATTAAAAAAAATTTTTTTTAAATTTTATTTATCGAATGATTATATTGAAAAACGATTAAAATGATAAATTTTTTTCCTGAAAAGTTTAGCATTGATCGATTGCATTCTTCGATAATCATTTTCTAATCATTTATCGAATTCAATGAAATGACATTGGAAACGATACGAAACGAAATTTTTCTGATTAAAACACCTCATTCATCTTACGAGAACACGAGAAATATAAGCAGAATAAAGAAGAAGAACCAATAAAACCAACAAACGATGAACGATCGAAAAAGAAGGCGAGATTACTTACTGATCAAATTGTGTAATAAAACTCTCAACGAAATACTTTTTACAGCTGTTTTCAATGTGGTCTTTCATAGAATTTTTCATTTTCTATAATTTGACTTTTTCGCAAGTCTATTTCGTTCCATATTAAGTAAAGTGATGAAGATCCATGAGGATTAGGCTTAGGCTTTGCATATGAAATATTTACTAATATTAATTATGACCAATTTTACCAAATAAATGAACGATTTTATCGGAGGTAGAGTATGGTGAGTGGTATATTCTTTTAAATAAGAATTGGTTCAATTCCGAAACTCAATGATAAGGTCTATGCAAATAGGAGACTGACAAATCCTTTCGAAATAACTTGTGATGGCCAAGGCTGCGTCCTTTCCCACACAGTATTTAACTATGCGATAGACTGAATAATGGACATCGCTTGTCGATACTCAAGAGGAGTAATTAGTTCAGAGCATAGTATCACGCTGATGATGTAGTCCTTTTCGCAGTTATGACAAAATGCAAATATTAAACAATATATTATGTTGATAACTATAGCGAGAATCGGACTCAGGACCAGTGTAAATCAAGTGAAAATTTTTTCGTCTTATACACCAGAACTTATAAAATATCTATTTTTATCAATCCATTGCGAGTTGAGGAAATGCCAGATTTTAGATACTTTAGTTCCACTCTGGTCCCAAACGGCCAAGCGAAAGACCCAAATAACTAAAAATGCGTGAAACCTTTACGGAGCTGTCGCGAAAGCACCATTAAAAACGAAAGTCCGCGTCCATATAGATCTTGCTATATGGTTGCGAAACATGGCCAGTGAGAATGGAAAATATAAAGATACTCTCTGCTTTTGACCATTCATGAACCACTCATGTCTAAGATACATTTTATAGGTTCGCCGAGTGGATAAAATCTCACATGATCGCATCCACTTTCGCTCAAATACCACTTGCATTAATAGAACCATAACAGATCGTCGCCATCGCTGGTTAGGACAATTTTGCCAACCGCCGTCTTACTGTTATAGCCAACGGAGGGAGTTTAACCAGTAATAGCAATAACTTTTTGAAGAAGACGAAGAAAAAGAAAGAAAAAAAGAAAAAGTCGCTAAAATTTGAAAATTTCTGAAGTGGATTTTTCAAGATTGCATTTTTTATAATGAATTAACTTGTTACTAATTATTAGGCCAGAATTAAAATTATTCTATAGTTTTGTGATATTTGACAAAACGATTCGATATACTTGAAACAACTTCCACCGGCTGATGCATCTCAATTTCCCACAGATCATCTGTTGTCCAGATGGATAACAACGAATAAAACATAATTATGAATTTCAAAACTATGGGAATTTTTTGGAAGTGTTATATTCAAAGTTAAGATGGAAAAGGTTTAACTCTTTTATTCTCTCATCACAGGGATACTGATCGAAACAATGAATTATACTTTCATTTTTAATGAGAAAGTTTTTTGCTGCCAAGGAAATAAGGGATAAGAAATAGTGTGCCAAGCAATGATATTTGAACTCATGGCCAAGACAAGATATTTTTCTATTCTCCTGATCTCATATTGTAGCAAAAATTTCGGAATTTTCGGAATTGTACGGCGACAAATGAAAAACCTCTAAAAATACTAATTGCATTTTGTGCTGAAGTGCTCTTCGATGAAAATTATTTATAAAATGAAAAACTGCGATAAAATTACTTCTTAGATTCGCATCTTTTACGCCACAAAAGCAACAGTGAGAGCAGTTCAAAAATATGACGAAAGGAAAGAGCGAATACCTTTAAAATATCGTTCGTCATCGGTGGCTTGGGAGCAAGCGTGATAGAATTGAGAATGGCTCGGGAGAATGGGAATCAGACCGACGCTCCACGCTTTGTCGAGCGACAATATCGCCACATGGCGAAGCAAAAAGAATGTTCAGTACGGTTCTGACTGTTACTCTGCTCTGATCGAACAAATGATGGTTTGATCTCAGTCGAAGCAAACCTCATACGCTAATTTAGATACGAAATTCCATTGTTTTCAAATTGTCAATCCCAGATGATTAAATATTATTTCTTGCATGTTCTTAATTAGCCAATCAAAATATTTTATTTTCATTTGTCAAATTTAATGATAAATTTAATAAAAAGCCTCATTATCTGAGAAGCCTTATTTTTATTGGATTTAATTTGATAGATTTCGATGAATTTCTGAAAGATCGATGGATGCGTTCGTTGTCCAGTCAGCTGGCATGTCGTAAATTAATATTTCATTTCCATTTGCAAATATAAAAAAAGGTGTATTAAAAGGAAAGATTTTTTAATATACTTATTACGACCACAAAGGGCTAAAAAAAATCGTTAATCAAAATAATGAAATTGTTAATAATAAAAGAAACTCGGAATTTATTTTAAAAAAGTGGAAAAAAAAAACTTTAAATGTCGAACTGATTTCAGAATTGTCATTCATTGTCATTTCAGGATGTCCCAAAAATTCTTTTTCGTCTGATTTTGATAGAAATACCAATCGATTGGTATTTATATTTAATGATGATAATAAAAATATAGTTTTCGGAATTCGCTATTCTTTTCCATCGATTCGTAAAAGAATCGGGCGAAATTTTCGGGACATTCTATATTTCCATTAAAGTAGGGACAGAAATTGGTAACAGTCATTGCAGACTGAATACCATTAATTAATTTGTTAAATGGATTATATAATATAGCATAGGATTGATCAAAGAATCTGGAGATAAATAAAAATAATCATAAAAGAGGCGAGAATTATCAGAAATGATAGGCGATAGCTAGTTGACTGATTACAAAAATCATTTCGACAACAACAAATTTCGCCATCAGTACCATAATCCAAATTTTTTCGACAACCGTTCAAATTCCAACCATCTTGAAGGTCATCCGAATCCTCACAATCGATTTTATCACATCCAAGCGAAAATCCACGTTTTTTTAATGGGTCTTTATCCCAATAACGTACTTTTACGCAAAATTTGGTCGATGATGTGCATTGTGATCGATTAATTTGCCGAATTTTACCTTCTTCATAAAATTTATGCTCTGATATACAAATTAAGCAGTATGTTACGACTGGTATTTGCAGTAATAGTTGCAAAAAAAACATAGCAGCTTAATGAAATAAAGGAAAGAAGGCAAGGACAAACTTTACGATCGCTAAGTATCGCTAAGAGCATGGAATAACATCTAATTTCAGCCATTTTACCATCAATATTATTTTCATCAATATTAAAGTATGTACATACTGAGCTTTGGACGCGCATTTATGTTAGTTCACTTAGATTATTAATTATGCATTAAATGGAAATATTCTGTCTGTTTCGGTTGAACTCTAAGATGCAAAGCAGATTTTTGCACTGCACATCTTCAGAAGATCGCCAAATCGCGGGCAAATCATTTCGGGATGGAGTGGTGAATTGTGCAGTGCACATATATGAGGAGTAAGAGCGGATAGGGAGGGATATTCGTGTGGAAAGGATATGGAGAACCATCATAAAGATAACTCGCATGGAAAGGCTAAATTTCAATTATTAATTATTCAATTATTATTATTAATTCCCGAATAACGAATCGATTACCATTCGTTCCAACCATTGATGAATGAATTCCTCTGGATTTGCAGTCGTTATTTATGGGTGCATAATATTGTAATAATATGTTCTACTCGCATAAGAGCAATTAATTAGGATAATAGACTAATTAACCGTCCAAAATCGTTTATACAACGAGAATTCCAACAAATTTTTATGCATCTGTTTGAGAGCAAAAAGTTTTTCCTCGACTCGTTCGTTTTTCGTCCATCTTTCCTCGACTTTAAATTAGCTTAATCGTATCAATTAAATTTTTATCTAATTTAAACAGCAAAAAACTCGCTTTTAAAGTATATTTCATAAAATATTTCATAAAATATATGGAAATCGATGATTTTGGCCAAAATGCAACAAACAAATAAATTCGCTTCCCTTTAAAGCAAAAGAATGAATGAAGCACCACAATATCAAAGAAAGAAAATTTCATTGAAGTATCATTGAATAAAAAAACCGAATGGTCCTTAAAAGTTAATCTGAATTTGAATGCAAAATTCAACGATTAAATATTCCATACAAGGACCCCCATCATTTCTGACTGGGCTTCGCTTCCTATTATCGCGGCAGGAAATTTTTATCGAAGAGTCACATAGTGATAAAAGCACAGGTAGACTGCCACCACCACTCGCTATTGTTCATAGACAATTCTGTATTTAAAGACCACTAAAATTTGAGTTTACACTGCATAAATTGCAATTTCAATTTTTATTAGCACTTCTATTTAATATCAATTGAATTTACTGAGAAATTTTCTTGTTTAAAAATTTACCGCCTCATCAAAACTTTTAAAATTTAATCATGGAAGATTTTTCCACTTTCATTTTATGATTTTCAGCAAGTAATTATATATATATATATATATACTTAAAATATATTGTTCACACTTTTATTCTTTAATTATATGCTTGTTTTTCCTTATTCGAAAACCGACCATTTCTGGTTTGGTTAGTGATTAGTTCAAAGGAAGGGGGAGGGGAGAGAAGCCCCATCGTCAGAGAGCCATTTGAAGATAGGTCCACGACGCTACCTTGATTTCATTCTTAATAATAGGGTTCAGGCTAAGATTAAAAATCGTATTTCCAAATACCATCAGTAAAAATATGCTCCTTATACATAATTTAAATACAATAAATTTAAAATCCTTTTTCAATTACTATTGCGGAAAATTCATTCAACGAATATGACGAGCATATCGCCGAGACACGATAAATCAAAATAATTGAGCATTTATAGGAATACGTAAACCACTCTAAACCTGGTCGCTTGATTGCAAATCCAGGTCAATTTACCAAATCATAATTTTGATGTACTTAGGATCAAAAGAATCAAGAAAAACTTGATTCTTAACAGACTAGCAAGGCTTCTCTATTATATTGATTAAACAGACTTTTGCTTGAGAATATATAAAACTTACAGGAAATGGATTAAATTAAACCGCTTTTTAGGTCCAACGTTTTATCCCACATATATTTTTCATTGAAGTGTTTATTTGAATAAATTGCCCAGTGATAAATTGCTTTGTTTATCTTCACTTTTAGAAGGAATACCATTATCACCATCATTCGTGGTTCAGCAAATTAGCTAATGCAATTTCTGTTTTTAGTAACACCAGCCAATGATGTTGTCTCCTTGGTTTCATAGCTCATAAAATAATGACTATATCCTTTTATATCGAATCCTCGAATTTTTATTTGTAGTATTTTGAGATTATTAAGATTGGGTAATAAAAATAAACGTATCATACATATACTCACCTTTACTTTTACTACTGAAAAGGCTTTAAAAATGAATTTAAAATGAAAAAATTTTATTTATTGTTAAATATATTATAATTATATTTTTACTGAACTAAAAAAAACTGAACTAATATAATTTGCAATGGTGTCACCATTATATTTATGCTCATTAACACACTGAAACGAGACGATTCAACAATTTTCACTTTCTAAAAGGTATAATGAGCCAAGTCAGTAATGCAGTCTTTTATGGCACGCAATCTTTACCACTTACCAATATTTCTACCATCTTCCATCTCCTAATTCACTATAAATTAAGATCGACCTTACCTAAGTTTGTATTACTCAACCAAAAAAGCATTTAAGCATGAAAAAAACTTAAGCATTTTACGACTGACCACAGTTTAGTTAATTATTACTAAAAACAATAAATTATAGCATATAACTAATGATTATAATAAAAAATCTTAAAACAGTTTCGAAAACAAAAAATTGCTAAAAATAGTAATTATTAAATTTTATTTTTAAAATATCAGAATATACTTATTGGAGTTTACGATTGAACGCGAGTATAGAACTAGATACTTCCAATGGTAATCAAATATGGTAATGGTATTCAAGTGCAGCGTTATCATTGAACAAATCTGAGCTTTTGTCCAACACAGTTGCTACTTATTTTGCAAACAAAGTAGTAAAAAGATTCGGCTTGAATATCTAATACAAAATTAACTATACTCGTTGCTTCAATCATAAAATCGCCAAGATTCTGCTAGACGATTTCTGTGGATAGACTTATTGCAATTCATCAGTGAAAAAATCTGCATAAAAGAAAATGCAAGTGCTTCCAGACAAACATGAGCACGCAGTTGCGATTTCCGTCAGAAGATTCTACTTGAAAGAGATAGGTCTTTATAGAAGTTGAATAAATTTCCTTTTTTGAATTTTATCTTTAGCTCACCATTTTAGAGTGCTGATCACTCAATTCAAGTTGTGAATATGGGTTCAATTTCTTTATATGAAATATGAAAAAGCTTTTTAAAAAGCAATATGTCAGCATTTGAAGATTTTTCTTTGAAGTGTATTTTCTCGACATAACTGGCGCAACGATTAACTGCCAGTATTTTTCAAAACCTGCCTGGCATTGCATTCTTTTGTGGCTGAGGATTGCGCTTTCATTCGAAACGTGCAAATACCAGTTATACCAGTTCAAATGCAAAGTTATTATTTAAAGTTATAAATTATTTCAGATAGTGAAGTTTGAAATTCATTGCCATATTTGAATAGAAATATCAGAGAAAAGTAACAAATCATAACCATTTTAAATCTTCAAAATGGCATCTACATTTAAATAAATTTTATCTAAAGAATGTTGCACTTTGCCTCGGCTTGGCCATCGAACTTCAAATAAATATATAAGGTCGCTGCAGCGCGTCAATTTCCTCCAGAAAAGCCTTGAACTGGCGAAAGTTAAGCGAATTATCATAAAAAATTCGAAGTTCGAGTCAATAATATTTTTGAACCTCATTCACTTAGCTTCGGCTGATTTATAATGTAATAATAATCATTTATTTTTGTTTGGAATTTTTGCTTTCATTTTACTCAATAGACTTATGGTAGTACTGGATAGTAGAAGGCGCCCTATTAAAGCTGGACTCAGACCGAGGCGCGGTTGTCTGACCAAATATTCACGTTAAGAAGGATGTTGGAACATCGCTTTAAATATTTGTAATCCACTGCCACGTGTTTCATCGACTTTGCGGCTGCCTTTGATTTAAATGATAGAGCGGCGCTTTACAGGATAATGGAACGAGATGGTATTCCAGAGAAAACCATTCGACTCATAAAGGCATTTTATTACATATATGGGGAGCTAATAGAATCCTTCGAAATAAGAGCTGGTCTCCGTCAAGTTGTATCATTTCCCTTATAATATTCTGTGCGATAGACTGGATAATGGACACCGCTTGTCGGCACTCAAGAAATCAGCCCCGAACATCGTATCATAGATCAGATCTTGCTGATGATGTAGTTCTTTTTGCTGACAAATAATGCTAAACAATGTACCAGCAGGTGCAAGGAGAATTGGACTCAGGGTCAACGTAAATAATACGAAAATCTTGTCGTCTTATATACCATAATTTGATAAAATATCTATTTTCAATCAAATTGGGGAAGTGCCAGATTTTAGATATGTTAGTTCCACTCTGGTCCCAAAGAGTCAAGATAAAGACTCTGATAATATGGTAAAAAATATGTGAAATCTTTATGGTCGCGAAAGCACCATAAAAGCAAAAACTCGCGTCCAATATGGCTATGAGACATGGCCAATGAGATTGGAGGATATTAAGAGATTATTTGCCGTTGACCACTCATATCTATGGTATATTTTACAGGTTCACCGAGTTTGATCGGATAAATGGATAAAATCTCACATATCGTACCTACCTTTGTTCAAATACCACTTGCATTTATAGTACCATCACGAAGCGTCGTCTTCATTGATTAAAGCAAGTTCTCCACCACAAGAGTTGACGCATATTTCGCTACTTGCTAAGCCCTGTGATGGTTGGTTTCAAAAGCGAGGAGAACCAATCAAAACCTGGATTTGTACAGTCAAGAAAGATTGGGGTCCAGCGATATATGGACTTCTTTTCTAAGCTTTTACCATTACTGGTTAGGCTGGCTCCAACGGCTACAAGAGTAAGACACTTCCAAGCTGCACGATCTGATGCCATTGTCGACAGTGAAGTCATTTCTTTTTCCATCGTCAAAGTCCATATATTGCTGGTCCACCCATACGTTGAAAATTTTTTCTAATAGTCCAGGTTTTGATTGGCCCTCGCTTTAGACGCCACGGTTTAGCAAATAACGAAATATGCGAAAACTCTTGGGGTTGACGACGGAGAACACGTGCCTAACCACCGAAGGGGACACTCTGTGATAACATTATTAATAGAAGTGGTGTTTGAACAAAAATGGATGCGATCATGTGATATTTTATCCGCTCGACGGATCCGTAAAATATACCTTAGACAAAAGTGGTCAAAGGCAGATAACTTCTTAATATCTTCCACTCTCATTGGCCATGTATCAGAACCATATAGCAAAACCGAACGGATCACAGCTATATTGATGCGAACTTTCGTTTTTTATGGTAATTTCACGACGACTCCATAAAGGTCTCGTCAACCGGAAGAAGGCATTTCTGCCTGCCGTGATCTGAGTTGTAATATTATCTTTTGCCAGTCCATTTGGTATAAGAGTGGATGCAAGGTCTTTAAAATCGGGCACTTCCTCAACCGGCAACAAAAAGAGGCATTTTATCAGCTTTTTGCACATAAGACGAAAACGCTTTCGTTTTATTTACATTGACCCTTAGTCTGATTCTCGCTGCAGTTGCTGAAACGTTATTTAGTATTACTTGCATTTCGTTATAACTGTCAACAAAAAGGACTACATCATTAGCGTATTTAAGATTTGCGATACGATGTTCTGGACTGAATTGGGCACTTCTTGAGCGCCGACAAGCGATGTCCATTATTCAGTCTATAGCATAGTTAAATATTAGGGGAAAGGATACAACCTTGACGGACACCAGCTCTTATTTCGAAAGATTCTATTAGCTCCCCATATATGTACGCTGATAAAATGTCTTTATGAGTCGAATGATCTTTTCTGGAACACCGTCTCATTCCATCATCCTCCAAAACGCCGCTCTATCAATTCAATCAAAGGCAGCCGCAAAAGTTGATGAAACTTCGTAGCTGATACGTTCGCCGAACCATATGCTTGCAATTGCGAGCTTCCAACAGAAGAAGAAATATCCGCTATCCATATGCGAAGAAATCCGAGTATTCCTTGCTATTCCTTTCTCCATCTTCTAAGTCATATATGGCTTCTTCCTCCTATATATTCAAAATCTTTCCTGACTAGTCCAGGTTTTGGTTGGTCCTCCTCGCTTTTAACGCCAACCATCACAGGATTTGGCAAGTAGCAAATATGTGTCAACTCCTGAGGTGGACGACGGAGAACGTACCTTAACCAGCGAAGGCAACGCTCCGTGATATTATTATTAATACAGGTGGTAATTAAGCGAAGATAGATACAATCATGTACGATTTTATCCGCTCAACGGATCCGTAAAATATATCTTAGATATGAACGGCCAAAGGTTAATAGTTTCTTAATATCTTCCACTCTCATTGGCCATGTTTCACAGCCATATAGCAAGATCGAGCAAATTGCAGTTATGTGGATGCAAATTTTCGTCTTCATGGTGATTTCACGACGATAGAGGTTTCATAAACCGGAAAAACATTTCTAGCTGTCGTTATCCGGGTTACAATTTCATCCTTTGCTTGACCACATGGGATTAGGGGTGACCCAAGTATTTAAAATCAAGCACTTCTTCGACCGACAATGAATTGATAAAATTATTATTTTATCAGCATCTTGCATATAAGACGAAAACATTCTCCTTTTATTTACATGATTTTGAGTCCAATTCTCGCTGCAGTTGTTGATACATTGTTTAACATTACTTTATCATAACTGTCAGCAAAAAGGACTACATCAACAAGGCATTCAAGATCTATGAAAATGTTCTCTGGATTGATTTGCACACCTTTTGAGTGCCGACAAGCGATGTCCATTATCCAGTCTATCGCATCTAATAGCTTCTTAATATCTTCCACTCTCATTGGCTATGTTTCACAGCCATATAGCAAGATCGAGCAAGTTGAATATTGTGGGGGAAAGGACGTCCTGACGGACACCAGTTTTTATTTCAAAGGAATCTATCAGTTCTTCATATATACAGACTTACGCCAGGACATGCTGATAAAGTGCTTTTATGAGCCGAATGATCTTTTCCAAGACACTGTCACATTCCAGCACTTTCCAGAGCTCTCTTCTATCAAATCGAAGGCTGCTGCAAAGTCGATGAAACATGTGACGGTGGGTTGCAACCCATTTGAAACCTATTTGAAACGATGTTCCAACATTCTTCTTAATGTGAATATATGGTCAGCACAACCGCGTCCTGGTCTAAATTCAGCTTGGTTAGGACGCATTCTGCTATCTCGTGTTGCCATGAGTCTAGCGGAAGGGAAGCGAAAATTTTCCGGAGATGTAGGTAAGCTAATTCATCGGTAATTGTCCTGTCCTTTGTTAGGAATTGGAAGCAGAATTATTTTGCTCCAATCTTCTGGTGCTATCTCATTGTGCCATACCAGAAAATATAGATGTTGAAGGTGAGGTGCGAACGGTGATGGACAACATTTGAAGAATCCGGTCTGAAAACTATCTTCTCGGGAGTTTTGTTGGCCTTGAACTTATGAATTATAAAGATAATTTCCTCTTCTGTTGGCCGTTCACAAACGTAAGGCTAATAGGCGAATCAGTTATATTCGGGAAAGGACGCCCTGACAACAGATGGCCACTGCCATCGATTTATGCCTACAAGTTATGCAAATTTTTGAGTGAAAAATCTCAGCCTTTAAATTCGATGTGACGCCACGAACAAACATTACCTTTTAGACAGTGGATTTATATTTGTTGATTCATCAACGGCAAGAGGAATAAACAAATCCCCTGGAGAAATTTCCATTCGTACGAAATATCAACAATTCGCATTTGTAGTTGCATACGATTGAAATGAAACGGCGAAGCAATAAAAGTGCTTTCAAAACGGCACTTCACTCTTTGCTTATAAATAATGCAGTGTTTTGAGTAAAGGAATATTCTTTTCCATTCAGCTGAAAAAATTCTATGCACCTCTTCGATTTTTTATTTCTTAGATTAGTCTAAGTATTTCTTTTTTAATGAAACAAACTAAGGGGCGATGAAATCAAAATTGAAATTAAAAAAAAGAAAAAAACGAAAATATAATTTAAAATTGAAAAAAATTAAGAAACTAAGGAATAAAAAATTTGTACAACCAGAACGCGCAAAAATTCTTGCGCCGCAGATTTATAAAGCTGTTGTGAACTGAGTTAAACGCTTTTGCTGGCAAGAATTATATGTTAATTAGGTTTTATTTATTCTTCTGTGAATCACGATCATATAAAATTTAGTTTGGATTTGTAGCGGTCGAGCTAGAACAGGCTAGGAGTAGCGTAGTAATATTTTTGCAGATACTTGATTAACTGATTTGCTAAATCTACGTGGAGAACATACTACGCTATTCTAACGTGGTGACGCACGAGAATTTAATAAATTTAAATTAGGAGTTTTTGAAATAAAAATTTTGAGATAAAATTCGAAATCCCAGAGCACTTAACTTAACTACTATGCAAGTCAGCACAAATTTTCGCGTCAATCAGGAGACCAAAATCTGAGAAATTCGAAAAAAGAAACCAATTTTTTCACGCCAATATAGTATTGTCAATAGTGATGACAAAGAGATTTCAGTCCTTAAACGTAAAATTTTACATATTTTATCTATCAACAATTTATCTTCCCTGGGGCCAAGTAACTATAATTACTCAATTGTTACTCAAATCTTTTTAAATGGCCTTTAAATTCCTCCAACTACCACGCGAGGAAAAATTTTGCATTCATCTACATATAAACAAATACTTAAATTCAGAATAATATTAGCGATACCGTTAGTATCAGCAATTCCATTTTACTTCTATTCTAATACTTTTTCTTTACTTTGCTTGTTTTTTCATATTTCATATTTTACATACAAACTCATTCATTGCCCTATATTCTAAATATCCGCTATAATAAATCATTTTCACCTTTTCGGTGCCTGAAGGTAAAGTAGTTGAGTGGTTGTTACTCAAACCCTCATCTTGAAATCCAGGATTCAGAGAAAGCAAACATACTTATCATTTAGAAATCCGGATGGTACTGACGACCTATTAGTGCTTTGATCGTCAAGTGATTCTCTCACAAAATTTTCTCATTACTAATAACCAGTAGGACAAGTCTGACTAGAAATAAGCATCGTTATTTATGTACCACTGCTTTTTTTAAAAGATGTTTATAAAAACAAAAACAAAAAAACAAGTGAAAAATAGAAAATATTTGTTGAGAATCGAATTTAAAGCAGTCACTTTTCCACCAAAAAAAAGAAATAAAAACAATGAACTAATTAATTATGCATTAAATTAATAGCAACAAGAAAAATAACCGTAAAATTCGTTGAAAGAGAGACCACAATTTCAAGCATTGGTCTACAACAAATTTTTTTTTTTGAGATAAAATACTTAAAGCATGTATACCACATAAAAACAAAAAAAAAAATAAAAGAAATCGCACTGATAATGCCAATCACTATGATGGGATGATTGAAAGATATGTTCCTCCATCTTCTAATGAGAGTAAACCTATTATGTGAAATCAGAGTAATGCTGCAAATCTATCTGCTCCGGCGAAGTGATTTAATTCCAACCTAGTATTTACAGGCATTCAAAACATAAATGGTGAGTGCAGAAGGAGTAAGAAGAATTATTACGACAACTACAATTGATAATTATTATTTTCTTCGACAATAATCTTTCATTTAAAACTGATTTATGAAATGAAGAATTAAGAATGGAATAAACCTTTAAATTTTTTTTGGTGAATAACTTATAAGACTACAATAGCAATAGAAATCATGAAAAAAAAGCATTTCAAAATAATTATAAAAATCTATTTCCAATTATAAATAAATTAAATTAAAATTAAAAGAATTAAAGCTATTAATGGATTATAACTTGTAAGATGACAAAAAATGGAAAATTTGAGAAATGCAGCAAAAGATTTCCCACAATGATTAAATGTACAAGAGACAGAGTTAGAGAAAAATATTATGAAAGGAAAATCAGTGCTTTTATTAACTATTAACTATATTAACTATAGTAAGTTAGTTTTAAAAAAACGAAATAATTTTACAACTAATTTTAAAGAATTTTATCGGTGAAATAAATCATAGATATGTTTTGAGATCCACCTTCAGCAATAATATGAATATATGACACAAATAAAGACTAAAATAGTTTCACCTTCAGGAAAATGAAACTTTACCAGCTATAGGTGCTTTTACATGATACAAATATTAATTATAACAAATTACAACCATTTTTTCGGCAAAACTAAAGAAGAAACTTCAGATAAATATTTCATGAAAAATTTTTTGAAACAAATGTTTTTTTCAAACAATCGAAGATTTCACTGAATAGCACCATTCAAATGGATCGGAGAAGATTACTTTAAACCTGGATAGTAAGACTTACTGACCATAAAATAATATGTGAAAGATGGAATAGATGATAAAAAAAAGTAAGAAGATCTCACAAAAGATGAAAAGTACCTTTGCGACAAATATTATCATTTAAATGAAAAAAATACATTTGAAAGATATGAAAAAATAAATCCGTCATCCTTGTTGCAAAAGTGCCTTTCATGAATGATTTTCTTCCTTTTACTTGTCTGCTTTATAAACAAAAGAGATCAAATACGATTGCAAATAAATGATATTTGGATCAGAATGATAAAGTACGAGAAAACAGAGAGAATGAGTGGACGATTAGCTTTCTTTAAAACTGAGCTAAAGAGATTTGTTCAAAAAAACAAAAAATTAAAAAAAAATGATTCGTAATGTTATGGCGAAATATTTCCCACAACCACACAACAGCCAGTAATTACAAGCGCATGTGCCAATCAATATGGAGCAAAACGTGTAAGTGCTCGATAAGTATTCGCAGCAACAGCAGGATAACCAGGTATTGCAGCTGTCAAAGCTGAACCAAGATATTGTTCGCCGATCGCAGGGGTTCCTGCTGTTGCAGCATTTCTAGCTGCAGCTGCAGCCATAAAAGCAGGATTTGCACCTAAATATCAATTAATCTAATAAAAAATTAAATTAAAATTAATAAGAGGTTTTTAGCCGCAAAAACTCAAATTTGAATATGCTTAAAACTAATAAACGATTCTAATTTGAAATTGATAAAATTGATTTTAAATAAAGCAAACTTATATTATTGAAATTGGAAACACGCAATTGAATGAAAAAAAGAAGGCGGAAAATACATCAAATTTTAGGACAATTCACCACCTTGAGAAGTGACGAACTGCAGACGAGCTTGCTCAGTTAGCAATGCTGCTGGATCATAAGCTTGTGGAACTTGTTGAGTTGCTTGTGGTAGTTGGGCAGCACTCAAAAGAAGACTCTGCCCTTGCAGCTGAGCAGCTATAGCTGGATTCAAGAAGGAAAGTTGCTGCTGGGCACCAATTGCTGCTAACTGACCTTGTACACTAAGACCCTGCAAATTTCTAACTGCTATCGCTTGAGCCAGAGGATTGCGCAATAGTAATGCTCGACTCGCAGCAACCTGCTGTAATGCTGCTCCTTGTATCGCAGCTGCCAAATTCGCATCCACGACTCCTGTAAATGAAATAACACCATAAATTAATAAATGAAAAAAAAAATTTCAAAAAATCTCGTCTTTTACTTAAATGAAAGGCGATTTATTATGATATATTCAAAAACAAAAATTATGGATCGTTTTACAGCGATTGGGACTAAAAACAGACAATAAATAAATTACTATAGATAATATACGACAAATAACAGTTTGATTCATATATGCTTATTAAACCTTCACTAAAAATTTTGTTTTTTTTTCACCGAAAAGATATTTAATATGCATGCAAAATTACGCTAAATCCAAATATGAAACTGAATAAAAAGAAATAAAACATTATAAAACATTATAAAACTGTCAAAATATAAATAAATCTAGAATATTCTCGCACAATCAGTAGGTATAATAGATATGAAAATAAAATCTGAACAAACATGTTCTCTCCATTTGGGCCAACAAAAATCAGTTGATTTTTTTTATAATTACCAACAACTATTGATAAAATATAAAAAAAAATTATCATGCGAAAAAACATTCCTTAATTATTAGATAATAATGGAAGAACATATCTTTTTACCGTTTATCAATGGATGGAACTAATGTCATCGATAAAATAGCATAGAAAGATGCGAAATGTAAGAACAAGAACGAGTATGTCAGCAACAAAAAAGACAATGATTTTTAATAAATTAACGATAAATCTAAAATTGAAAACAGAATTTCAAATAAAAAATTCGAAACCCTTATATAGTAAACCAAACTGATCCACTGATAAAATGTCGCTGAGAATTCTTCGTTAAAAGGTAAATTGACTTCTTTGGAAAAAGATCACTCAATACAAAAAAAAGAATAATACAGTTGATATTAAAGAAGTAGAACATATTTAATTTGCGAATATTTGTGCAACTTGTGAGCACCAAAAAAAAATAAATCTTTTCAAAAAGAACTCGAATATATTTTATATTCAAGACTTACAACAGTTTCTCATAACTTATAGTACAAAACAGAATTAATGGTATTTTTATTTTCGAGCAAAGCGAAATGATTTAAAACCTTAACTAATAATTCAATAATTAACTAATTTAATAATTAATCTAATAATTGGACAAATCAATTCAATACTTTCCTTAAAAAATCAAAACAAAACAAGATTCAAAACACTTATCAAGTACTTTTTTTAATAGCTGTGTAAAACAAAGTCGAAAATAAAAATACCGAAAAGATTGAAATCACAACATCATTGGAAAATCATCGACATATATGCGAGTCCTCTTCCGTTGTGTTGTTCAAATTAAGACCCAAAGCAATGCGTAATAAATTAAGAATTTTGCATGCATATTAAGCAACGCAGCTTAGTAATTGTCTAAAGTGTAAAAAAAGAAAAATGAGAATTGCTTGCTAGTTAAGAATGTTTCACGATTGCTTTTTGCTTGCAAAAAAAGAAACGAGCAAATGACAAAAGTAATATAGGATGGAATACTGGAATGGAAAATGGTGGGAAGTTAAAAAAAAAAACATTTCAAAAATAAGTGAACTGCCATAATTAAATAAGAAAAGACTCAGGAAAGTTGTAGGTGGTTTAAAAAAAACTGAGCGAGATAAAAAAAAGATGTCAGCTCACCAGTTGAAATTTTCGGCTTCTTTGTGTGTATACGGGCAGTAGCACAGTTGACCTCAAATGCGAACATTTAAAGGGAGAAGTAAAAAAAATTTGATGAAGAAGTAGTGGGAGCTGCTACTATCCATATTTTTTCTTTTATTTTATTCAGCTTTATTCTTTATTATTATCGTTTTATTCTGTGGTTTCTGATACTGCTATTACTGCTGTTGCATCTGGCTTCATTGTGTAAATAAATATCATGCGACAGCATAACATACAATAGAAAAAAAATAAGCAAGACGACCTGGCTGATAACTGCAAACTCCTCCTTATCAATATCTGACCTATCTGATGATATTTGCTAGTGATTAAGTTACGCTTTCGGTGTTACTCTAATTAAGACTTTGGTCACTTTCCAAACAAGAAGAATCACAACCGCTCTTTTCAAATTTCAAAATACTAAAAAAAACATAAAAAACATCGCCAACCGCGCGAAGAAACTAAAATTATTTTTATAAGATGGCATCAAAAACTGGAAGAAAAACTTAGATTAGCTAATCTGATTAAAGCAAAATTTCTCAAATGACATTTCAAGCATTGCAGCAACCATAATCTCCGCTTTATTTTTTTAAATGAAGTGAGTATCTTATTTTATTTTCAGCTTATGTAAATGTTATATTCCCAATATGTTCCATGCAGCCAAAAGGACAAAATTTCACCGTTACAAGACCCAATTGAAAATATTTATGATATTAGTTATATGCAAATGGATGCAAAAAATATTGGTGTAAAGCGAAATGCAAAACACACTTATGAGAAAACAAATTTGGGTGCCCTCCATTATGATCATGGAACAATGTGAAGGAAGCATCATGCTTGTATGCACAGTAACTATCATCATTTCAACCCAACCATCTACCATTCACATCCATCAGTATTAACACAAATAATCTTACCTATTTAAATTTTACAGCAGATATTTTCTAAAGTTATATAAACTCTAAATGTAGGTGATGAAGAAAATGAAAAGACTAGCAGTAATTCTTTTTACTTTCTGAAACATTATTTCATCGCAATATTATTCACCAAAGTGCATCAAAATTACCTCAATTTTTCGTCCTTCCACAGTTGATCCATGTAATTCTTGCCGAGCTTTTTCAGCATCAGCAGATCTTTCCATAGTTACGAAACCGAAACCCTGTAAATCAAAATTTTAAAAAAACCTTAACGTTTACTTTAAAGTTTTGTAGTTTTAATGTCCTCAAACTTGGACAATTAATAGTAATGAAATGGACAAAAAAACCAAAAATAAAATAGCTGTATTATAATAAATGGACTAGATAAAAATTTATATTACAAGTATTTAACACAATATAATATACTTATAATATACTTATTGCCATATTTCCCATCTCTATCCCCATATATTTATCATGTTTATACTGAGCTAGATAGTTAAGAATTTTCGCATTTATTGATTATTTTTTACTCTACTAGCCCGGGGCATTTCACTGGTTTGTACGATATATTTTCAACTTTAAGCGCACTTCGAATCTTCAAGATTGAGATTGTTGCAGTTTCCTTTCTTTTGTCATCAAATTCTTTTTAAAATTATTTATTTTCTTATTTCTTATTAATTTCATTCTTTATGCCTGATTGTTATTTCTCTATTGATGTTTTCAGGGGTAATAATTAATAAATTCTATAGACGGCTTATTTTTTGCCAATCTCTGCCCATCAAATTCGCCGTTTGAACTTTTATCAGTTTCACAATCTACACTAATTCTTTACTTAGCTAAATCTACTAAATTATAAACGGACTAAGAAAAAAATCTATTTGTATTATTTTAAATCTACTAAATTGTATTATTTTAATCTCTGCCTTATTTTCATCATCTTTTACTATTGTTAATGAGGCAATAGTATCCTTGAGTTGCGATCCTTCGTGCAATGAATCCACCGGTTTTTTACTTTTAGACTAGCAGCTCGTGGTTCTATCGCCACAACTATGAAGGCCCATGCAACCGCCATCTATTAATTGAGGAGGCTATAATTTCCTGGTCGTAATACTAGAGTTCCCGATATATTATCAATTATAAATACTTATTCCAAAATTCTGTTGCTATTTTCTTAATTTCAATGATCCTTATGTTAACTTCAACTTTGGCAGTTCTACTGATAGCTAGTGGGAGATGAGCATAAGACCATATTATTAATCAAAAATATTATAAATTATCAAAAATTTTCCATTTCCAAATGTAGAATCAAATAATTCGGCATTCTTGCACTAGTCTAATGACAACTGCAAATAACACCAATCTAATCCTGCCAAAAATCAGATCAACCTTCCACAATCCAGATTTTATGAATACAAAATAGCTGTATATATGATGACCACGAACCAATAGATAATATGGATATTCGTTGAATGGAATCAGTTCATCGGAACGAAATTTCTATACCTGTCAACTTTGCGCATTTCTAACGACTTTTTTCTCACAGCCTTATGGGCATATTCTATTTAAATTTGTTTTTCCATAACTTATAAACAGTTACAGTAGTAGACTCAATATAGTCTATCCGATTACAAATAGAAACTAAAGCTTGTACAATCCTTTTCTCCGTAGGCGATGTTTAGCTAATATCAGATACTTGAATAATGCAAATACCTTCTTCCATTTGAATCCCAATAATTTGGCTAGCTGATCCAGATCACATCTAATTCACTCGTTGAATTGCAGAAAATAGTGAGAAAACTCCAGGTGTTCATCCTAACGCGCCTTGATGATTCCATTATCGTAATATATTCCTCTATGGGTTCTTTGCTCACATAATTAAATTGTCCACATAAATACTTTTTAGGATTTTAACAATCAAACAATCACGACTTGACCAATTAAAGTATTTATTAAAGTATTTATCGTTTGTAGTCGCAGGCAAAAATTCGAATGGACCTCAAAATTCGAATGGACCTTTCACCATTGATTTCAAATAATTTACTGACTGTTCGATTTGTAACCAAGCGATCTTCCATAAGAAATGTACTTGATAGCGTCCTTCCGCCACCTGCGATCATGACTGCATTGACCATCATTGTAAATCCAATTTCTTTACTATCTATTGTCCAGCAATCAAACAATATTCTAAACATCCCAGGATGGAACTCCAATTCTTGGGCTTACATATCTTAAAATAAGCCATTCTGGTAACAATATCGGATCATCGTGTCTTTCTGTTACCAAAAGGAGCCAGAAATTCTTTCTCAAAGCTGAATTCGTCGGCTTCTGTACACCGCTCACTCCATTGACTATGCCATCAGTTTCATCATAAAAATTGGCTGATAATTTCTTTTCGGTTCCTGTCAATTTTAAACTGCATAATTGCTAACTTTCGGACACTGGATGACACTGAACATGGCATGAGTACTTCCGAATGTGCTCATTATCACTTTTTAATCTCCCTTCAAATTTACTTCGCCAAAGCTTCCGAGATATACGAATGATTGAAACGAATCGTATGGTTATTCATGTCCCCAACATTGACCTATCATGAGCTTGTTCATTCTTACTCATTAACAAAATTTACAGCCCTGTTTCCTTTGGTAGATGGCGCAAACATATAATCACGTATTTCTCTCAACTGATTTTTATATAATGCGGATATGCGGACCGTCACAACAGTATCATTTTGCTTTTCAAAAATCGACCAACTTAAGCATCTGAAAATATAATTGCTTGTTTTTCACTATTTGATCTGGTCATGATAAGTTATTACTTCCTCATAACTGCTTTTCTAATGTGCTCCAATATTTTTTTCATAAAATGCACACACTGCTGGAAAAAATTTTTTCAATTCACTATCGTGAACGCAGATGTTCGTGATTTCTACCTTCGCGCTCTATTATCCTTGTCCTCATTTCCTGACCTACTGGAAGTTTGCGTCACTTTATCACCATCTATTCGCTCGTACAGCGCCATTATTTTTTGCTTCAAAAGCAATTTCCTTAACGAGTCCTTGTTAAGGATCTCGCCATACGACAATCGTTGCTTTCTAGCTTGCTATTAACGAACGTCCCTGGTGTGGCACGGCATTCTTGACCAGTGCCAACAGTGCTTCATTATTTACATCGTAATAAGCTACAACTTCAAATTCATCCCTGGTTCAATCCTTGACATTCGTTAGCCTTTCTGTGGTATTTGGGGACCCTTGATGACTCTACTGGTCCTTGCCATCTTGCGCTAATATTCCAAAGTAATCTCTAAGCAGTTCGCTTTTGTCACCGCGTATCGTTCAGTTATTAATTTTTCTTTGCCTCTTAGATGACCAACAAGGCAGCAAAAGATCGCATTCTATTCTCTTATATCTCCTCCAAATTTATTGTTGTGCTTTTCAGTGGAATCTTATCCGGGATATCAGGATTGCGAGCATTGCAGGCCTTCACCAAAATTTTCTCGCAATACCTCAATGATCCCTTTGAAAGCATCATACATATATTCGAAATCACACTCTTCTCTCTGATGAACTAGTAAAAGAAGAAATATATAATCCTCTCAATATAATTTCTAACAGGAAAAAAATAAGTATAAGTACAGAAATAATAGAAAGAAATAATATCATTTGAATCCTTAGGGATAACTTCGTTCGATTGCCGCGTTATCCTATTCGCTTACCCGCTGGGTTCTACGATGAAAAAATGAACCTAAGAAAAATCTGACTCGTTTCTATAATATCATGACTGAAGTTTAATAATTTGGTCTTGGCTCTATGTTTCATTCGTTTCATCCTGAATCCAATCATAATCTTCATCTGCCTTTTTCCAACAAAAACGTTATCGTGACGTATTATAATCATAATCTTCGAACTTGAGTAATTAAACCTTTCATATGAAGTATGTGAAAGTGCATATAAACGAAATATCATAAATGAACTAGTAAAAAAATATTATAAATACATAACAGAATATAGTATATAATATATAATATTCCTATTCTATCTTTATAATTTTACATATTGATGCGAGACTGTTGCATGTTTTTATATGTGCCGATCTTGTGATCCTTTTTGCTCTACTGGACTGAGACATTTTATTGGCGTGTTGATATGTGGTCTTTGCTCATTTTTAAGCACAAAATTATCAGTTTAATATTCAATTATGCAACCTTGATTAGCTAAATAGAATGCCCCAGAAGACGCAATCAACAATCAAACTGCAATGTTATTGATTTCGTCAATGCTTCTTCGAACCACTTTACGCTCCGTTAATATGCTATTCTTTAAACGCAGCTATAATCCCTTACTATTCCTCATATCCTCTTATATTTCTCTAATGTATTTGATATGACTATGAGTTCGAGTCCTATTATTTGCTTGATTTTTTTCTTGTTACCATAAATTAAAACGTGCTTAAGTTTATACAATTTTTATAATTAATTTTTACCGGTCTCTCTGTCTACGGGCATAATAATTGACGATGCTATTTCCCGCATGAGTAAGAATAAGTGTATAAGTGTAAAAAAACCTGAAGGGGTACTGCCTCCTAAAGCCTCTCATAAAAAATTCCCTGATAAACCAGTGGGACAAACCTAACTGAGAATGGTAAATACCAACTACCTGTATATTTTTTTATTCAATCTTATGATTTTTTTTCTGCCACCTTTTCTGGGCTATTGTTCACATTTTTCTGATCATGAATAAAGTGCAAAATAAAATACAATCAAAACAAAACAAACTTACCTTACTTCCGCGTTCATTAAATATAATTTCAACATCAGTAACTGGCCCAAATTTTTCGAACATAGCTTTTAGGTCATGGTCTCTGAATCGAAACGGAATATTTGATACATGTAATCGCTTTGGTGCACTTTCATGATTTACGGTCGATGTTGATGCATCGCCATTATTCAGCACACTTGGCGGTTGCGGTTGAGACTAAAATATTAAAAATATTAATATCAAAAATGACATTTAACGAGAATTATATAGTAGTTGCTTGAATTTGTAATATTAAAAACCATTTTCTGCAAAGCACCCTAACATTCTAACTGAATAAAGAACAAATTAACCAAACAAGGCGAAAGGACTGGAAAAAAATTTTTAAAGACTTTCCTGAGAAAAAAATCTTCAAATAAAAAAATAAGCTATTAATAACCACTGTAACAGTAGGCAACTGTGGTCCAATCCCAGTAGCAGCAGCCATTTGCATTTGTAACTGCAACTCGTAATCTCTCGGAACCTTTGTATCTTCTTGTTTATCAGCATCATTAACATTCGTATTAGCAATCTGTGAAACAGCCGTCGCAGAAGCAAACATTTGATTTTGTTGCTGTTGTTGTTGGAGAACTGCTACTGAAATTTGAATAAAACTACTAAGTTGATGTTCATTCTAATTGATTCATTTTTTTTAACATCACCCACCATTTCTAGCTTGGTTACTTAATATTAAAATGGCTGCAAACTTATCTAGGTTTTCTCCATATCTCCAATTTAATTTTTAACAATAGAGCTCATGTCAAGGAAGAAGAATTGAACTAATTTTGCTTGACTTCAGTTGAAGCAATAAAGTACCCGATCACCTTGCTCAAAATTGAAAAGTCACAAAAATTAAAAATTATTTACTTTAATACACGTATGGCCTTGTGGCCTTGCTGATTTGGTTATTATTTCTAAATAAATAAAAAAAACCAAAAATTAAAAATAAAATAGGTGATGGAGAAAAAGAAAAGTGTATTTTGTCAATAAAATAAAAATATGGTTTAAAAGTTTAAACTTTTCCGCTCAAAGTATCTTTTTTTGCTATTATAAATTAAACAAAGAGAAATAAAAATTTAAAAAAATATCTAAATGCCTAATTTACCTATTTTATTTTTATTATTTATGATAAATTCAAAAGAATTATTTTATTTAAAAAACCCTAATAAATAAATAATAAAACTTTTATGCTTTAATACTTTAATAATAAAAGATACTCTTTTGAAAAACCGCTTTTTTTATATGAATTACCAATATAATAATAAAAAAATTTGTTTTAATGGAAAATTAATATATTAATTTATTAGTGGAAAAAATTTGAATAAAGAAGCAAACTTGTATTAGCTGCTAACTGCTGTTGCGCAGCTTGATGGAGAAGCATAAAAGGTACACCACCCTGTACAAGTGGTTGTACAGCATTAATATTGAGTACCGCTTGGCCTGAAGTTGGATAAAGTTGTTGAGGTGCCGTTGCTTGTGTCGTGCCAACACCTGTTGCTGCTGGCAATGTATACACCGTTTGCATCTAAAATTATGCTAAAATCTTAGTAATTAAATGATTAAATATATTAATTTAATGCGATTTATGTAATAACAATAAACCAACATGATTAATATAAATTTCTGAAAAATTAAATACGATAAATGGTACATTGCTTCGAATCGCTAAGGTCAAGCCATCATAACTTTGGTTTTCTATAGCCCGACGAAAGTGAATTTATCATCAAATCCATGAAGTGCTAAGATCCACGTATATTTCTAGCACCAAGTGGCAAAAGCTTTATCCTAATGGTCAGTAGGACCAGCCAAACCAGATATGGTAACAACCTTCAAAGGGGGAAAAGAAATGGCCATTAAATGAATTCTAAAAAAAAATAACGGGGAAACGATCGAACTCTCAGCAATCATTTATATGGAAGAGAATGACAAATGAACAATTTGAAATTTTCATGTTCATAACTTATCATTACTAGTTGGTCAAATCACGCAAATCACTTCACCTTTACGTCAAAAATGTGCTTAATAAAGTGCTCCATGCTGTGTTGAAACATTCACCTTGGATTTTACGCCCTCACCTCAAAATAGCTCTAAAACTAGAAAACTGATATATACATAAAATCTCTTGGCAACCAGAAATTAACGCAATGCGATGCAACAATGCTTTATGTAAAAGGTCAAACAGGATCTACTTGTTAAATTCAAGTAGAAAGAACGAATTTCAAGGGAGTTCCACGATTTTCTCTCCCAACATCCCGCTCCTCCACTTCCGTCGAGAAACTCCTCGAAGTCACCTAAAGCCCCCACCCCCACCCCCTCCCCCACCCATTAACCATAAAAATTAAATGCCCGCACGTCGCTTAAAGCATATTTATTAATCGCGCTTCTGATTGCATTGCAACGCGGACTTACTGGCACAATGCCAATTCATAAGTTGTTTCTCTTTCACCTCTTTAATGATAACTCATTATTTCATTCGAGATCACCGTAAGATCCAGGTCCGGGGAACGCTACTTGCGGAATTGTCGGAGAAGGCTTTCTCCCCGTTATCGTTTCGTTTTATTGGCCTTTACCTACCCTTTGACCTTTTATTACATTGAGAAAAAGAATTTCGTTAAAATTATTGACAAACTTTCGCTAATAGAAATTATACGATTAGATTCATCATGTTGATTTTATTAAATTAAATTATTATTCTTCTTCTAATAGTTTTCACCATTACTGATGAGGATGGCTCCGCTGGCTACAAAGGAACTTCCAAGCTGTTCGGTCCGACGGTAATAGAAGCCGTTCCTTTTTCCACTCTCTCAGTCCATATATCGTTGGTCCGCCTATAAGTTCAAAACCTTTTCTACAGATTTTGCTTGGACCTTCTCGCTTTTATCACGCCATTTATCACAGGGTTTAGCAAGTAATGAAACTTGTCCTAGATAGAAAAATAAATAAAATCATCAAATCCAGTAAAGAAACGGCATAACTGCACAAATGATCATGTGTCACTCTTGCAGTGGACAAACGTGCCAGCGAAGGCGACGCTCTTGGTGATGGTACTATTAATGCAAGTGGCATTTGAGCGAAAGTGGATGTGATTATGTAAGATTTTATTCACTCGAAGAATCTATAAAATCTATTTTATGAATATCAAAGGCATAAATAATTCTTGCAGTAACTCTTGCATATAGGCCATATAACAGGATCTAATGAACTGCAACTATATAGATCCGAATTTCGTTTTTACAGCGATTTCGCGATGGTTTTATAAACCGGAGAAGCGCATTCCCAGCTACCATTATCTGGATTTAAATTTCGCTTATTTTAGCCATTTGAGATTGAAGTGGATACAAGATATTTGAAGTCGGGCATTTCTCAATCGGCGATGAGTTGATAAAAATAGGTATTTTATCAGCTTCTGGTATATAAGACGAAAAGAATTTTATTTTGCTAATCCGAATTTTTTACTTATAAATTTACTTAAATATACTTTGTGGAAGGTTAGCTAATATTTTAAATATTATTTCGACTAAAATAAAACATTATATATTCAATTTCCATTTTAAAAAAAAAAGTGTCTTTAAAGGTGAAAATTATCGGGAAAAGTACTTAGATCGATTTTCTTATGAGACTGTAGGTTAGTTTCATAAATAATAATAATTTTCAGATAATAATGCAAATTTAAGTTGTGCCAAAAGAAAACATCTCTAGCTGCAGCTGGGATTTCATCTCTCGTCTGGTTACTAGCTGGTAGATCCGAAAAATTTAAATTCTGATATTTTTTGAAACATTTATAGAAATTGTGATCCTATCAACATTTGGTTTAACGAAACAAATTTCGTCTTTTTTATATTGATTTGCTGAAACATTGATTTTGAAGGCCAATGTTCGCTGTTATCTGACTTGGTGTTCGTTGTCTTTTCTCATAATTATCAGCGACAAGGGCAATATCACCAGCGTATTCAGTCCATCATACTATACTGCTCTGATCTTTTTGATGGGAAGCGGTTCCCATAACCCAATCGATTACAAAATTGAATTGAAAATTATAGAGGAAAGAGCAAACTTGATCCAAAGCGGTTCCTATCAAAAGGTTATTTCAGTCTCTCCATACATATATATGTACCGATAAAATCTTTTAAGTTTTTACCAGTCTGGATGAGGTGCTGGTTCATTAGGCCTCATGAACTGTCTTTTTGCAACACCTGTAGCGTTATCTGCTAGAATATAACTCTATAAACTGAATCAAAGTCAGTATCAAAAATGATAAGGAACGTGACGGTAGACTGCATTCTTGTGCAAAGCTTCAACAACTTTTTTAAAATATTTCTATTCTCCTGGCATATCCTGGCCTATATTATTTTGGCTGAGGCGCCCTGGCACCATGCACTGTTGCAAGTCAGTAGAAGGCAAGCCTGAATTCTATGAAATATCTTGTGATTCCTCGGCAATTATCCCAGTGTGCCCTATCATCTTTCTCGGAAGCTGGGAACAGGATTGCCTTGCTTCAGTCATTTGATACTTGCTCCTTTTTTCACAAAAATGGCTATCAATTTTACATGTGGGTTGTAAAGGATGTTGAGTAGATTTGAACAATTCAGCTCGAAGACCACTCGTTTCTGAATTATTTCAGAGATTATTTCATGATATGCTGGAGTTCGTAATTGCTCCAAATGTGTTCCAGCCATGTCCCCGATGTTGAATGGCCGAACATGATTAAAATTTTATTTGCAGATCAAGCAGAGAATAGTCATGCGTTCTATTAATAATAAAAAATTAAGCAATGTAAACAAAAATTAAATTTAATATTTTACTTGTCAAAGTCGAATGAAAATGATTTCTCCAGATAATATCATAGATATTAGATGGATATATTTTTAAATAAGGTATTGTTAGTTTTTTCATTAATACTAATACAAATTTTGGATTAATATAATTAATTTACTTCGTGGAGGGATTAATGAATGATTTACACTTCGATTGAAGTTAGGTATAGTGCAGTCGGTCCCTATTCTCACGAAATTTGAGTGGTGGTTGTGACTTACTTTTAATCGCACGCAATCCTTGGATGTCAGTGGAGTGAAACAAACTAAATGTAATGCGTGCTAATTGAAGAGAGAAGAAATCTAATTTACTTTATCGGTACTTAATAAACTTTGGTTTTATCTGTTCGATTTACAAAATTTATTTTATAAAAAAAAAGAAATACCGTTAACATTCCTCTTAATATAATAGAAATCATTTCTATATAATAAAATTGAAAATAAAAATCGAATTTCGAACAAATCCATGTTAATCATAATTATTCAATTAATTTTAGGTTTAAAGAATTTTTTTTTGGGTTCTTCGAATTTTACTTTTTTCATTTTTTTGAATAATTCAAAAATACAATGGGTTCGTTTCCCATAACTTATCATTAAAAGCAAATTCCAAAAATCATTTGTCCTCTCATTTTATTTATTTCTTAAAAATCATTTATCTTCTCGTTTTATTTATTTCAGATAAAAAAAATATTCAAAAACAGTTGCTTTTTAAAAAATTGGAAATAAGATTTATAAAATCGTTTAGTGAAGC